GTATCAATTCCTTACTGATCAAAAGAAAGTCACCTATCATAATAGCTTTATAGTTAAAGAAGTGATAGTTTGTGTTACATTATGTCGGTATGCCAAAATATTTTCTGATCATTTTGCAGAAGAGGTGTAAAACTTGGTATCCAGGTCTAGACCAACTTTTACTCGATAGTTTCTGCATGCTGAACACCATCTGACAAAACTAGTATTGTAATAAACGTTCGTTTAGTGGATTCTCGTAGATGATCTTTCAACTCAACCGAACCTGTCTGTAATATATTGTGAATTGGACAACATTCTTTTGGACGCATTCACTCTGTCGTCTAGTCTGCATATTCAGTGTATTATTTCAGATTAGTTTCATTTCACATCTCGCATCCTTTTTTCGTTCATTTCCCACTACCTTTCTCACTTATTTAATTATTTCTCCTTATTGTACTGTATTCGATTTATCTGATATTTAGCGCATAGTGATACAGCGTTATTTACTTGATGACGTTTCGAGCGTAAATTATCGCTCATAATCGGAATACATTTAGTCCACAGTAATAATTGTTTGTGTTGTTTTCTACCTCTTCCCCCTCACTCCCTGTGTCACTTGTTATCCAATCAAAATGGACGAAGAAACATCCCACGTGATTGGTTGCACGAAGTCGAAAAGTACTCTAAAACAGAGCAAACTGAGGAAGGGTTGCTATACTTTCATGATGAGCGACGATACCGTTCGAAGTGCTGCAACCGAAAACGAATCAATCTTTATGGAGCGTTTTTGTCTCGCCACGTTTCCGTTTTTTTAGTCTTTGAAGGTCGCCTCAAAGAAGTATGAGAAGCAGACGTACACGCACTACATCGTGCGAAATTCACATTTGCAAGGTGACCAAAGAGCCTACATCGTTTGTTTGCTTTAAGACTAGTGGACGCCGGTCAGTAGATGGCGTAGTGACAAGAAGGTCAGTTCTGTTTGTTTTTATTACATACTTCGTAGAATATCCCTGAAATGTTCTTGTCGGACGTTTGTGCTCACGAAGTTCTTAGAAGGTTTCTGGATAGTAACTCGGTGGCTGTTAAGTCACAATTATCCCTGGAATTCTCTGCTTTATGACAATAGTTTTTGGGCGCGGAAGTTTAATTGGAGACCATAAGGCCATTGCTAATATTCGGTGCGGCTGCATTTAATGTTGTTGATCTCATTTATGCACACTATGGTAAATGACTGGATAATCAGGATATATTCAATATGCGTTATCGCCTCTTGGCTCAGTGTAATTTGAACGGTAATTGGATTTTCCATTGAAACAATGTTGTTGTAGGCAGTTATGAAAAGTTTCAGGAGCGTATAATCAGTCAAGGTAGATTGGCTTCCTTCTCTGTCACAGAGGGTGGAGATCTGAAATACTTCTTTTCGCCACAGCTGAAATTAGCTGAAAACTGTCTCGATCTTTTGGTCTCGATGCGCTTACAAGACAAATAATGAAAACCTTTTTCCTACCAGTTCGTAGCCATCGATATAAATCTCATGGTTATTCCCATAGCTTTTGCTTTCATAAGCAGTGAGACATCAAAACTGATTGGTTCGTTTCTGAGGTTTTTCGAGAATATTATTGGAAACCGTAGATCGGGTGCTTTCACCACAGATGACTGTCCTGGAATTTGGTCTGCATTATGCCAAGTACAGCTTGCTATGCAGGCATATAATTAAGTACTGTATACAAAGAAATATCCCGTAGACGCAGTTAACGTTTCTCTCCGTTGGCTGATGCGGAGGAATGAGCAGCACAATGTGCCAGTCCAAAACTACATTCTACAATCAGCCTCATCCCTTCTCCCATCAAGAAGCCAAATTTGGATGGCGGTTTTACCACTCTTCACCGATGACAGCGATTTCGCACATTCCTCGGGTTTGTGCGGAAATTCTCAGATGGCAGGACACCCATTCCGGTAGACGAAGTCCAGAACATTTCGCGGGACACACTTTATCATATGGATCCGAAGAAGAAATGGAAGTGATGGTTGTACCTGTGAGTACGATCATGATGCCAGACAGTGGGAAACGAATAACTTCATTTGAAACAATTTCTCAGTCACCTACAATAGCAATAACTCATCCAAGAAATAATTTTAACGTTGACCTAGACTCTAGTGTCGACGATCAAACAGAGGCTATGGAGTTGGTCACTCGGAACTCTAAGGAGATGGACCGTGTCGATGCAGACGATGCTTCCAAAGTGATGTGCCAACCTCCATTCCACATGCCGGGACATGGATAGCATGCCGTTGTCATGCAACATTTCATACATTCTGCTCATGGAATCCACACCCAGGAGCCTTTCGTCTTGAATGCCCTGCATGTGGCGAAAACCCCTGACAGAAAGGTAATGTCAATAACATTTAGAGGGATTTTCGTTTAAACAGGTAATTCGCATCTTTGACTCCCACATCTCTACCCACTTCACTTTCAGATGAAGACAAACTGCACCAGAAGTGAATTTCTACTTCACGATGGAAGTGAACGAACAAAGGCCCTTCTCAGGGCCATCCAAATGTGATTTGAATGACTTCTTTCGTTTTTTTTTAATAAATCAGAAGTGATTATCCATGTTTAACTACTTACCAACCGAATGAATGTATTACAAAATAGTAGATCGTTAGGAAGTGTAGAACAGGAAATGATAACTACCTATTATGTAGCTAAGGTTCTGATAATTGAAAATTCGAAGCATATATACTCATCAAAGCTCTTGGAACAGGTGAAGGATAACGCCACTTCCCATTGTATTTATTCACTTAAATGTACGTGTGGTCAGCTATAGATAATAGTAGCTACAATTAGGTACTGTTTACAGTTCAGAAAAAAGCAGAGGCTTTGCGTTTCTGAATGTCCCCATCTCCATTCATTTCCTATATATATATTCAACTACTATTTCTTTCCATACGCACTTCGACTTACAAGTTATTCATTCATTATTATTTGTAATGCTACTCAACTAGTTATTCAGACAAGTTACGTGTTCTTCTTGTTTAACTGAAATTAATTAGGGAAGCAAATTGATTCAAACTGATCACATTCATTTAGTTTCTATGCTAGGGTTATTGACCGACGCTCACTAATCCATATGAACGTGATTACTCAGTTAGCACCGGTTTTCGAAGACCAACTTAATGTTGGTCAGACCTACCAAGGCAAAGCAGTCAGTTTCTCACCAACATTATCTTTGAACTTACAGCTAGTAGTGTATTCTTACATGGACTTAAATATTTCGATGAAAAGATTATTGTCCAATGGAATGATATATTATAAGTAAGTACATTTTCAATGAAAAGTCAGCCTTTATTTCAGTAAATTATTCAGAAAATATTCCAAATGTTGGTTCAGTCACGGGCAGTAATTTTGTTCAGATTATTACCAAAATAAGAGCTTATCATAGTGTGCAAACTTTCCATCAATACATTTAAGTTATAAATTACACTCCATACATACTGATCTCGGCGGCTACCACTGTGAAGAGAACTCATTACTCATCGCTTCAAACACCAGAGCGTTATCCACTAAGCTGAGTCCCAAATAGGACGAAGTTTCCTACAAATTTTAAATTCATTTTGGATCTAATCTTTACCTGATGGCGATTACTTTCTTAAGACGGATTTAATGTGACAAGTGATCATGATTTTATAAGCCAATCTAAATACAGATTGCTTATCTGAGCTCAACTAATCAGATTTCTACAAGTATCCTAGTCCAATAGGAAAGTATCTTGGCCACACAAACACATCGACTTTTAAACAGAGGAATCGGTCCTTTATTTCCAATTTCTTTTTTCCACCTTAAATAAACTAGGGGGGACAAGTGTACCGGGAAGTAAACATCGACCCTCATAATCAATAATATCATGTAATCACACTCCTTTCAATATCTGATTTTTACGGTCCTGTCACCTGATATTCTTTGTTTTTATTGGTAGTAGAATTTTCGATATCTCTAATATGAGTGCTGCATCATTTCTAATACATTTGTTGGGTGTTTATTCGGTGAGCAAAGATTTAGTAAACAACCTCTCTCTCCACCTAATTCATATTGAAAGTAGGTACAGTGGTTTTGTCCTACCCATCTTATTGTATGTTGATGTATGCATTACTATAGCTGAGTGTTTCTCGAGATTATTGATCTTATTGGGTTCTGTCACCCTATATTAAGCTAAATTCTTATGTTCCGCTAAACACTCGGGCATTGCAATGCATGCATTAACACACAATACGGTGGGATAAAGCCACTACTTAATTCCAGTATGATTAGGTGGAAAGAGATTGATTACCGCATCTTTGTTCATCAAATCTACACCCAACATATGGAATAAGAATGACGCAGCACTTGTACCAGAGATATGGAGAATTTTACTACCAATAAAAACAAAGAATATCAGGTGACAGGACCATAAAAATCAGATATCGAAAGGAGTGTGATTACATTGATATGATATGATTATGAGCAATAATTTATGCCAGAAACACTATCAAGTAAATATTACTGTGTCACTATACGCTGTATATCAGATAAACAAATCTAACACGGAATTACATTCTATCACAGTGCCCAAGTTTTACACTTATTTTACTGTTTTTGAAACATGATATTTGGAGGTAAAACGTCACTGTATCAGTTCGTATATTATTCGATCACTTTCTGTGTTGATGTTCTCGAGGTATAATAAGATCTACACAACAGTGCTAATTCTGTGGAAGAATAGAGGAAACCCGGATAGCTATCCTTACTGTTGAAGACAGCGATCGTAGCGACATAAAAAAGAAGAGGTAAATAATGTATAATACTCATACTCTTACGCTTCGGATTATAACTTATCAACAGGCTGAGAATGTGTTTCTTTTGTAACTTCTCTGTATAGGTGATTTCTCTTCCTCCATATCAATCAATAAAATCTTTTTGAAGTGTATTGATCGACTACACTTAATCCAAAACCACGCATTTCGTTGTATGAAAGCAGAGAAAGATGCACTGTGGAGATATAGAAACTATTAAAGAACGCGTATATATACCACAACTGCTTTATAGTGCGAATGATGGTCTGTCAACTGATTTATCCACGGTTGGATTTCATTGTTCAAAATATGCACCGCATGAGGTAGATAAACTGACGAAACGTCGTTACGACCAAACTAATGCTAATGTGAGTATTTCGGAACGAATGCGAAATGATAACCAAGACTTAATTAGAATAACCGATGCGCTAACTGCACGAAGCCTTGAAGTTACAAAAGGGCGACTGAAGGAACGACTAGCTGATACTAACTTTTGAAAACTGAATTGGAAAAAGAGATAAACGATATTGTAGCAGCTACTGATAAACTAATTAGGTTTAAAAATGACTTAGAAAATTGTCTGTCAGCTATTGAAGAAGCTATGCTGATCTGTAGAGATAATATAAATGCCAGACATCGACGTTACGGTGAAGATTTACAGCAAGATAATGTTGAATTACAACTTATCAAGGTAAAACAGTTTTTCTAGTATGTAAATATTCGCAGTTTCCTTATTATTACTGTTCTCATTTACTTTCAACCCTATCAAATTCGTCTTGGCTTCCTGCAAGCCTTGGTAACTGGGACCGATACATTTTGTACAAAGTTCTTTTTTTAAAGGTATCTTCTGTACAGAATCCACAACTTTTATGGCAACCGACTGACTAGAAATCTATGATCTGTCCTTGTATGTAATACAGTGTTTCAAGTTATCAATTTGTGGAACGGGAAAATGGTGCAGAAACTGAGGAAAATATACAATAAGCTGACAAGTGACTTGGAATGCGTAAATGATAAGCTGCTGAACACTAGAAGGGAAGTAAGAAACAGATGTATCTCCAACGACTGTGTAGATACTGAGCCTTATCCTTAGGTCCTCTGATCACTGATTTCTGTTATCTCGGAAATTCTAGACGAGAAGTTGGCACTTCCACGAGGATTGGTGTGAAAAATTCTGACGTTGTGCTTGGGATGTGATTCTCACCATCCAAATGCAAGTTATTGCTCCAGGACTTCCTTGGTGAGTCAGTGACTGACGAGATCTCTGCACAGATACAAAAGGCTCTCTTAACTTAAGCAGCTTACGGCACCGCCGTGACTTCTGACTGTCTATCACTGCTTCAGTGTACTGCGCTGCAGTCCGCTCTGTTCTACTGTATGGTGGTGAAACATGCACATTAAAGGTAGAAGAACTGAGAATGCTTCAAGTGTTCGATCACCGCTGCCTTCACAGCATAACTCTGTGTCGTGCTCTCACCAGGTCAGTAACGTAATAGTCAGGTGTTGAGTTTTATGGAGGAGAGTAAAGTCAGTGTATGGTATTGTGAACCTTCATCGACTCAGCTGTCTTTGACATGTGTTACGGACGCCTAATCACTGTCTGCCTAGTCGCATAATGTTGGCTAAAGTAGATTGAGTCTGGACATGGGCTAGAGGTGGCTAGACTAAAACATGACATCATTGCATGAAGTCTTTGACTGTTAGTCTGAGCTGTGTGAAGGGATGTAAACTTGCCGGTTGGGGTCGACGTGACAACAGAAATCAGTGTTTGGAGACTGTGGGTGATACGGCTCCGAATCGATGTCAATGCAGCAGATGTATGCGCACGTTGTCCTCATCTTGATTGTCATACCGAATTCAGTATTTTCGTGTTCCTACTCCCTCTCTTCTACTACTGTTCTCTGCTTTTGACCGATTCATTTTTATTCCTTTATGTTTCATCGTAGAGCTTTCTCGCTTGATGTGATGATATGAAATGTAGCAACTTGTACCGTTATGCAATAATGCCTGGTTCTATATTTATGTTTATGATGACATCTTGTTTCCATGGTCATTGTAAATCTACCCCAGAAGAAAATAAGAGTTTACCAAGAGAACAACACCTTAGCGGTCATAAGTAGAGATTGTAATCGTGAATCAATGATTGAGCTAAGTGGCTATGTTTCGTCATTTTTATATTTTGGCAGCTGAAAAGGAGCGGTTTGAGCAATGCAAGATGTTGAACCAAAGTATACATGCATAAACTTTCAAAATTACACAATCTTGTAGGGTTTCAGGATACTTAATCCCAAATATCTGACAGATTACATTCATTAAGTTTACACTATATGTAATATTCATACTAGTAAATAGTCATACCATAGTTCAGTGATATATACTGATCTGCTTACTCTACTGCTAACACTAGTCATCAGATGACAAATTAGAAAATGGATCGCATGCATGACAGATTACTTAGTCACTTCGACAAATATAGTTCTGTTAATTCCAGTTTTGATCAGAAAGTCATTGTCATCTACTTGAATTTACCTATTATCAGACACTATCTGAATGTTAAGAAAATCCTAGAAACTGTCTTTAAATTTGATAAACGATGTGAATTTCGGTTTAATTCCTATCACTTCACCCTAGTTGTCATACGCTTGTACTGAAAGTTGTACATGAAGTGACTATTGGATGGTAACTGATGTAGTGTTAAGCACTTGGCGCTGATCGAAATCTTTGTATCAGGTTTGAAGTTTGATCACTGAACTAAGCGATGCAGCACTTCATCGGATTGTCAACAGAACTCAGTTCTTCATGAAGCAATTCATTGAAATATATATATGTAAATATCAGACTAAACCTTGGGCACTATGGCAGAATTTATTTGTTTTAGTCAATTTACTAGATGTATCACACAGTAAAACAGTATTGTTTACCGAATTGCGTTCCCGACACAATTTATTATCCATAATCATCAAGAAATTTTCTTAAAACCTTCGTCTCATAATGATTGTTAATGTAAACATTTGAACCACTATAATGTTCTTATATAGGCTGTGACCAAAGTCTTCAGCAAACAATTCAAGTTATTTATTACACGGAATTCTTTCAGTTATAAATAATTTGTTATAATAAGTGAATCGGTTGTTAGAATGTTAAATAATGTGGTATTTATCTCCACGATGCTGACTGAAAAAACTGTCAACTCTGGAACATAATTTAGTGGCTTATCCTAGTAACACAATATCGTAGTGCACTACCTTCAGTGCGAGGTAGTAAATGACATTTTGAAGGTTCTGCAACAAGTCTTTAGAGCTGCTTCATATTCAGTAAGTGTGAAGATATTGATGCCCACCTAAAGATTCTTAATCAATGATTTGTAGGTATTTCCACATGGTTAAATCCCACAATAATCTAATCAAGTGTACAGCACCACCAATAATTAACACGATTAATTTATTGCTTTTCTCATACTAACTTATCCTCTTATAAAAATTCCTAGACATGCATGCTTGGTGTGTCTCTGAGACAGGTATATAGGACCCGAATGGGGTTATTCATTAAACCAACCTCACCTCTCCACAGCAGTGAATCTACAAAAATTCACCTCAGGAGACTCAATGGCTAGCTCTCATGGACTCCATGGTGTGGTCATAGTATAGCATTGAGTTTTAGAGAAAGTGCCCTCCTCGACTAGACACCAGTAAGTAGTCATCTATGTAGTGTTCGACTGAATGGATCTGTAAGCACTAGGAAGCGCCGTGAGAACAACCGATACCTATTCGTGATCTCCACCTACGCAACCACCGACTACATATCAAATGAACCAAAGGATGAATTCTATGAAAAGCTGTCAGCCTTGATACAGAAAGCCACACATCCAGATATAGTCGTAATGTCAGGTGACTTTAACCCTCGAGTAGGCAATCTGAGCCAGTCGCAAGGGCATCTTTGTGGTATATACGGAATCTCAGACCGACAAGCCGAAAACGGTGAACTTCTGTTGCAATCTTCTTCCGATAATAACTTGTTTCTAGTTAACACCAACTTAGGATATAAGGAGACACACTGTCTCACGTGGATTCCACCGGTATCAAACCAACTAAGGATACGATAGATTACATTGCTAAAAACCCTCGTTAGAGAGGATTGGTGCTTTTTGTGGAATATCAGTTTGGACTTCAATCACGCGCTCTCATGGACTCATGTGTGACTGTGTATTACCGGTCACAGGAAACAGGTGATAGTAAAGTCTGTCTATGGCCGACTGGAAGATGAGGACGTCAAGTACATATTTATGGAAGAGTTAGCTAAGCATTTATCTGAACGTGACAGGAATGCTCATAACGAGGAAACCTGGTGTGATATTAAGTTTGTTGTAGAAACAGAGGTAAAGACAATTGGTAGCCTACGCCCGAAGGCTAGCGAACGTCATTGGATTTCCACGACGTCATCTAAACTGACTGGTACGCGAAGAATGATTCCAGGTTGCTGGTTCTGACCATAATGAAGAGCGAAAGCAGCTTAAACGTAAATTGACCAAGAGTTTTCGTGTCAATTGCGAGTAGGGTTGGGTAGTGAGAGTGATAGAGAAGGCATCAGCTTGGGTAAAACGTGACAACTGTTTAAACTGATTGAGGGTACAGGCAAGAAGAAGATATTGGTTAGTGAAACCATCATTGAAAAGGGTGGGACGCTGATAACCTCTGAAGACAAGTGGCTGCGACGTTGGTCAGAACACTTTAAAGCACAGTTCAACTGGCCTTCGGAAAGGCTTTAATTGCCCAAGATCCTACCCAGCCTGAACCCGAATGAGATGTAGATGTTTGTCCTCCAACTCTCCTTGAAGTGGAGAAAGCTGTGTCGAACCTAAAACGATGCAAAGAAGTAGGACTTGACAGTTCACTGCCCGAAGTTTTGAAGTATGGAGGTATGAAGTTGGTGCCTAAAGTGAAGGAGATGTTTGGTAGTGTATGGAGATCAGAGACAGTCCTGTCAGACCGGTGTGCTTCATCCATCATCGCAGTCTATGAGAAGGGAGATGAGTCTTCCTGTGACAACCATAGGAGAATTAGTTTGACTAATATTGTATGCAAGATCCTAGGATCTACAATTATCCGATACCCAACTGTGGCTGAAGAACAGGAAACCAGTTAGGTTTCATTCAGACAGAGCTGGACGAGGGTGAATCGATCATATTTTCACCCTCCAACAGTTTCTGGAACACAATTATACCTACCGGCCAGTGGTCGACACTTGGTATATTTGTTGACTTGAAGGTGGCATTTGACCTGGTCGACCGTGAGGTGTTGTGATAGAATCTGACTGCGAAGGGAGTACCGATCTAGCATATAAGGCTGGTGAAAGCTCTCCACTGGAACTGAAGCAGTTGTGTGAGGCAACGGCTCATGGAGAGTTGTCATGTGGATTGACGACAACTATTGGTGTTCGCCATGGATGTCCAATGTCATCGTTCCTATTTAACTTCGTCATTGACGTACTAATGGACATGACCTTAGGTACGTGTGACTTCGTGTAGGTGATCTGGTTGTTAGTTCGTGATGGATGTCATATAAAGGCTTGTCTTCCTTCAAATAGACTTGGATTATGAGAGAAATAGACCAAGCAGCTACGTCGACAGATCAGCATGACATACTTCACTGGGATATCATAAGCAGTTTGTATTTCATACAGGCAATATATATTGAGGAAGTGACAGGCTACTGATGTATGGGTAACAAGGTCATCATAACCAGGAGGCACTTCTGCTCGACGAATTCAGATATGATACACCTGACCGAGTTTTGATCGGTAAAATTTCCCACAGAATAACTCTGAAAAAAACTGCTTCACAAGCCATGTTCCTCATAAGGAAAAAATCTAGTCAACTCTGCGTCTAGTTTTATTGCTTCTTGCTATTGATGTACCATGTCATTTCCTGCCGTAGGAAGGTAGATGGAGGTTTGGATTTTCTCAAAATGAAACAACTTGTGGATTTTCATCTACAAAAAGGTTTAACTTTTTATTTGATGTTGAGTCTTGAAGAACATTTAAATTTAACTGTTCACTATTCATAAGTTCCCTTAACTCATCCATGTATGACTAAGTGGTTTTAAAGCATAGTTTTGTTCTGTTTAATTTCAGGAACATAGTTATTCATAGTAGTGGAATATATGGGTGTAAAGCATCTACTGAAAATCAGTGTACAATGTTCTTCCCCTTTTTTCCAAAAAGTTATCTGGCCAATCTGATTTTTATAACTACCAACATTAACACTACGGAATGGTAGATTTCTACAAATGTATCTATGTCATTTCGCCAGTCGTAACTACACTCAAATCAACCTCAGCATTAACACTTGCATTGTGTGAATCCACTCGCTGAAATGGTTAAATAGGGCTTCTTGGAAAACTGGAGAAGATTCATGTAGAAGCCTAATTGCATCTATTGATCACAGAGTATCAACAAATATCTGACTGATGAGCAAAGTTTGGATTTACAGGATATTAGCTAATTTTCTTTTTAAATTAAGTTTTTAGTATAATCTGCTGATGAGTTCTCAGATTTGATACAAACAGTCCGCTTGGCATTTGCCAACTTGTGCCATCTGTGATGCCGGCGAGATTTCCGGTTACCTATTGAAAGACAAGTATATTGGTTGGTCACTGGAGGGTAGCCGACTTCATCTCGTCTGGTCCTAAGTCCTGATTGGATTCTATGGGTTATTTTGCAAAAAAAGCCCAAAAGCACGAAATCTTGGTTCACGGCTTCCTGCTGATTGCCTCCATTCAACTAGGACCTATCCCAGTGCATCGCGATGGTGAGTCTCATAGCTTGGTGGTCACATTGCAAAATGATCTGCAGAATTCCATCAGCACTCAAGACTAGACAACATGAAGTTGGTTACCTTCCAGTGACCAACCAATGTACCTAATCCAGTTCTACTAGAAGTCAGTCATGGTCTGAATAGCTCAGTGATAACATCTCTGACTGCAGCATTGGGTGACGCGGATTCCAGTCTCAGGCGGGTATCAGTTCCATCGGGGTTGCAGATATGCCTTGCCGACAAGTCCCAAGAAGCATGAAACCTAGGTCCAGAGCTTCTTGCTGATCGCCTGCATCCAACTAAAATCTGAAGGATGAGTACACTGTGCATCAGTCCATTATGCTATACTGTATGATTATGAGACATGGTCGTCGCAAGTTGAAAGTATGAAGATGAGGCAGGTTTTCGACCATAGGTGTCTTCGTAACTCTGCCGTATTTCATGAAAACATCGTTTGACAAATGTTGGGGTTAGGCACAGAGGAAGGTAAGTCAGTGGATGAGATTGTGAATCTTCCCAGAGTGAAATGTCTCGAGCTCGTCGTGAGAGTACTGAGCCATCACCTACTTCAACATGCGATATTGGTCACAATAGGGTCAGATTAGAAGATACCTAATGGTAACCAGCCCATGATGCAACATCACTCGATGGAGTCGCTGATGGCTGGTCTGAACCATGTAGGGAATTGTAGACTGCCTGGATACAGTCTTCAAGACTGCAGAAATCAGTGGTTGGATACTTTTGGTAACATGGCTCAAAACTGGTCACAATTGCACAGATGTACACACTTCTTGTCGCCTTCGAAGCCTTGAATATTTCCATTACTCTTCACCTATTCATTCCTAAGACCGTCATACACTTATGTCTACTTTTATATCAACTTTTCTATTCACTTCTATTTTGGATATTGCTTTGTAATCTGGCAACTTGAACTGATGCAAGTCGGTAGCAGGTTCTATGTTTGTTTATCTATCTGTTCTTCGAAAACATATGGGTCTAGTTTTAAGTTATTCAGTAAGTAACAGTGAGACATACCTAGAAACTTATGGGGAGTTGTCCCACCTTGGAGAATACAATACGCATGTTACACTATCATATCCATTTCTCTGACTTGGCTGTAGCCTCTCATCACGACATGTATCGTTGTGACAACTAGTTCTTGGGTCTCGATATCAAAACAACACACGGGATTTTTATCTTTTGGTCTGATATGCTTCGAAAACTTCAGAGTATTCGGTCGCAGTAACTGCAGACATTTGTGGGCGTGACTAGAGTTTATGCCGTCATATCAGAAATGTTAACTATATTGTTTTCTAAATAAGGGAAGTCTTGGCACCAAAATTTCCAGTACCGACCCCACTTTATTTGTTACTCAATGTCACCATACGTCTTGTTTATTTCCTTTCCATAAACTGTCTAGCAATTTTCATAAATGTGCAGTTAGACTAAACTTTACGCTATTTTAATCAAACAGGATAATTTTTTATTGAACTTGACTCCATCATTTTGAAATCCTAATGTTTGTTTTTGTAAGAGTATTGATAGTGGGCAGACAGTTGATAAAAGTATACATCTTTGCATGCTAGAAATGCTTTACTCAACATAGTAGGTTGTCAGTTAAAATAAAACAGGTTGTTGTTAATTGAGCGAACTGAAGTAGAATCACAGGCAAAAGTGCAAAAGTTCAAAACAGCACACTATGAAACAATGCAAAGGAAGGTGTTCATAAAAGTAAGACGATATTAAAACAAATAAAAAAGATCTCCCACTGCTATATAACTAAAAGGAGTTGTGCTACTAATGTATCTGTTAGTTGCATATATCTAAGAAATTGGGAAATACTGTAGTGAATAATAATATTTACAGAAGCTACTACTCTTCAATGGAGCCCATTTTATTTCTTTTAACTTTAGGAACTAGATGTTTTAAACAAATGCATCGAGCTGTACAAGAAGGCTATAAAACAATCTAAAAATCAAATAAAGTGAGTTGACTGAAGAGATAAAGATTTATTGACTTTCTCGAAAATGCTCAACATAAATATAGCATCCTGAATATCCGACAGGATCGAGGCATCCGCATAGGAGCTCCACTGCCAAGAGAAGTTGAAGAGTTCAGCCCTGTGCAGCAACAGGAAATTACAAGTATCAAAATAACAACTGATACCCGTTTCACAAGAGGTGATTCTCGTGCCCAATGGCTTAGTGGAATACGCTTTGGCGTTTGAAGCTATGGGTACTGAGCTCGAGTCTCGGTGGGAACAACATCATCCCAACTGGGGTGCAGGTACATCGAGCTGGCGAGTCCCAAATAGGATGAAACGTGAGTTCTGGATTCCACTGCTAGCTACCAAGATAAACATTACTTAGATCAGTGTCAAACAATATGACCCATTCACAAGGGTGCCATATAGTTGTATGCCCTGGAAGACCTTGCGTCGACTTTGCATTTTTATTATTTGATATAATTTAAGTATAGATAACATGTTAACTCATTGAAGTCCCCTTTAAGAAGTTCTAGATGAAATGTCTAGCTGAATTGCGAAGAATACATTAAAAGCCTACAACGCATATACGACGAGCAGTAACATTCGAAATGTTACAATAATCAAAAAATTGATGCTGTTAATTATTAAGGAAAGAATAAACATGTTTTAATCGATGAAGCAAGAAATATATGAACTTCAGATAAGTATGGTCGGTTGTAATATTTTATTCTTTTTAAAAGACGTTTTACTTTAGACTTATTTTATAGTACTATTGTATAGCTCCGTTCAAGAGGTTTGTATCGATTCCTTACTTATTTTCATACTATTCGTGTGTCTGAAATAACTGACTGTCAAAGGTTATTAGTAATTGTTCGTCTATATGAAGGGTCAGTTATTTCATTTTTGTAAATTATAGTACGATTTGAGCGTACAGTTCAGTTGTATTTATGCTTGGCTTAGAGCATGAATAACAACAAGGATAGTAAGCATCAGCCTTTGTCTTCTGTTGAACGGAGGAAGTGAGAAGAAGGCTGCCAGTTAAAACTTCATCAACATCTTGTTTTTTCAAATTCACTTGGTGATTAATAGGCGTGGAAAGCATAGACAAGTTCAGTGATATTCAGACAGTGAGGCACGTAGACAGAGCGACAATATCAACATAGTACTTGGCATTACTGCGTAATGGTCATAATTGCAACACCTAGTATCAGCACATCAAACGAAAAAGAAACAAGGTGGAAGATAAAGAAGAAAACAGTCAAAATGGTAGAAAGTCACCAAAACACAGCAAGAAAGATTGAAACAATCATGAAATTCAGTGAGAAGATAATCCGCGCCCCTGACATCGATTCTGAACCATGTTATTTAGAGTTCGCAAATACTGGTTTATGTTATCATGTGGTTCTCAAATGAGAAGTCTAGGTATCCCTACACAGCTGAGATCAACAGTCAAAGACTGTATGCAATGATGTCGTGTTTTATTTAGTCTGACCACCTCTAATACTTGTCCAGCCTCAACCTACTTCAATTAACATTGTTCCATAGAGCAAAGGGGTACTAGACATGCGTGATACATGTCCCAACCACCTGAGCATGACACGACCTTAGGTACGTGTGATTTCACAGTGATCTACTCCCTGCAGATCAGGCATCTTATTGATTTGTTGTATGCAGAAGATATTGCTTGATAGGAGAAGACACCGACAAATGTAAGGTCCTGTGATTGCGGTGAGGAGAAATCTGAGTATGTTTGGTATGCGTTTCTCTGGCGCGTGTCAAATGTCGGATGTCGCTCCAGGACTTGTCTCTTGCAAGTACTCCCGGTGTTGTGATAGGGAGTGAAGTGTTGGAGCGTATCAGCCTGAACGGGTCAGTTACTGACGAAATCTCCTGTCGGATACTGAATTCTTGTTTGACATTTTCCGACTTGGGTAGCCTGTGGCGCCGACTGGTGAGATATCCGACTATCTATCAAAGGATTATACTGCGCTTCAGTCCTTTCTGTAGCGTTATTCACGTGCGAGTCATGGCAGCTGGAAGTAGAAAACATGAATCGATTGCAATTTTTTGATCGCAAATATTTTCGTAGCATCGCTCCTATTTGATGGAACCACCGTTTGAGCGATGTTGTCAGGCGAATGGTATCAGGCAAGACATGCAAGTCGATTGATGAGATTGTGAACCTTCATCGACTGAGGTGTCTTAGACATGCGTTTTGCATGCAAAACCACCGCCTACCTTGACGTGCCATACTAGGGGAAGCTGGATTGTGTTGGGAGATGGTTCAGGATGACCACACCAAGACGTGGCATCAGTCGATGAACCTCCGTACTGTTGGACTGAGCCGTATATGAGGTGTAGACTGCCTGACTAGGGTCCCCAACACGATAAGAATCAGTGGTTTGGAACTCTGGGTAACAAAACTGAAATTCGGTCACAATAGTACAGATGTGTTTACTCGCTGACGTCTTCTGTAGCTTGAATATTCACACTAACCGTTATCTTCAGGTTGCTTATTCTCTCACACAACGTTTCTACGTGATATACCTCTTATTCTACCCACTTGTTCTTCGTATACTATTGTGAAGTGTGACAACTTGACCCGATACATTTGTGTGCTGAGTTATACGTTGATCCTGCCTGACTGATTGATTTTTGCCTGTTTTGACTTCTGCAAGTGTTGGAGGCTCTATCTGAATGTTTCATTCAGGCTCCAACTGGATAGCTGCCAAAAGGATAGTAGGTGGTGGTCTTTTGAACTGTTCACTTGTCTCTCCTACGTGGGAATCACTGATCCATCCTTCCCCGCTGTAATCCCACTAACCACTGACCTATTTTCACTACCCTCCTTGATCGGTCTAAATAGCTATCTATTGTTGTCCATCATCACGCCCTTTTCTATTTCTTTCATCTTCGCTATCCATGAGTGTTCGCTGTCACTGATTAAACTTTTTGTCAGTCTACCTTTGGGATGTCTCAGCTCCTCACTGTACACGGAGTCTGCAAAGATGTGTTCATATTCATCCACTAATTAAGTAGAGACTGCTCAGATCCACTGTCCCTTTTCAGCCACCGTGTGATAGTCGGCTATGGTCTTCAACACTGTCTGTACGGCAGAATGGAGATTGCACTAGGCACATAAGAATTAGCAATCACTTGACTGTCACAGTTATGTGTCTCTGTATCTCGACATAGTTACCGATGAAAAAACTAACTAGGTTTCTATACTTCACGAAAAGATACTTTATCGCCCAGAACAAGGAAACCCGACTGGTTATTTCAGCAGCTACTAGTCACTTGTGGCAATTAGTTTTAGCGGTTGTCGGTTCAAACACGTGATCCAAGTTAAACCGGTTTATTTGCTAATATGACAAGAAACAAGTTCGTCACCGCAAACATTATCATATCTCTACTGTAATATACATCCTTCACAATGTAAGGGTTGACGGTACTATCCAACCACCTAACCCATAGAAAGTAGAATAAGTTTTCATGCCGTAACTAAGCGACTAACGTGGCTTGTTGCTTGAATCAAAGGGCTAAGACTTCTCATGCAACATCGCGACGTAAATAATAGTCGAGTATTCAAAGAATAAAGAAGCTTTTTGTGCCCGAACAACAAAATTTTAAGAATTAGTAAAATGTCAAATGTTTGACTACATGATTTATTCATGGTTCAACGGTGTAAGCGCAGTTTCGACTGTAAACTTGGAGCAACTGAAAAACCATTAAAGATGATGAATCTCTGAACAAAGGTTTCAAATTAGTTGGTTACTCCTTAGCAGTCCATACTGTAAACCCTCTACAAAGTTCAGTCCACATTTCTAATTATCATAGCAAGCGTATTGCCTTTTAGTTAGTAGGCTGAAACTGAATGTTCAACATCTTCCAAATCCACGACATCATGGAACCACCATCCTATGTCATTGGTTGGCACTAGTTCTCAATTGCAACCTGGTAAACCTCATCGGTCACGTCTTTCCAATACGAATTCAGTAAATTTACCTAAGGGTCATCCATTAATGTGCGCTGACTGATTGCTCAGTGAACCATCAGAATTCCTACTCAGTACTTGAATAATAACCCGCCTTTACCGTAGTCCTGACGACCCCGTGTTGGTGGTCGCACGCTACTGAAAAGTCCCAAATGATGATGAGAAAGTTATCTAATGCTATTTGAGTCTTTTTAGTTCCCTAAATGACATCAGCTAATAACCGAATATGTTGCGAATTAATTACCAGTTAATCTATAAATCACAAGTCTAATCTTTTGCTTTCTTTCTTACGAACAATACAACCTATGTTAAAGACGCAACCGAGATGCTAAACAAGACTTGGAAATGGTATGGAGTGACAAATTTGAAACTAGTCAGTTATTGAGTACAGCTGGTCATTTGAGTCTATATGCCATGAATAAACAACTCTATGCTGGTGAAACAAGACGATATCCATTGGCGGTTCAGTCAAAAGTTGAATCGGAGGCTCAGCACACATATCAGGCTATACTTAGATCACAGCATGAAATGATGGCAACTGATGAGTTATCAACTGTACTATCCAATCTTATTTTTGATATCACCACAGATATTACCCAACAGAAGGATACAGTCAATGCTGCATTTCAAAATCACTTAATTTGCCTTGAATCACAATTAGCCGACTATACAAAAAGATTGAATGAAGTAAGATGATAATTTTTGTTGATTGACAGTGATTAATACTTATGGATACATGATAACAGAATGAGCCAGGAAGATCAGTAAAAGGAGAGCAGCAGAATATGAATACCACGTTGTTCACTTCTTAGAACATTAGGGTATGGTATCTCAGCACCCAGGATTTCTTAAATTTAGTTTTTGTATTCACTCTATTTCATCGAGGAGAGTTAGGTCGATGAAGTTAATGCTGATGATGTCAAAACTCAGAGAACACTAAATAATTGTCATGTTCATTCTAAAATGTGAATCCATGAACCACAGCTTCTATGTGAAGACTGTTAGCATAACTTGAATCTTCACATAGTGTTCCATGTGACAGATTCAGAACTTTGAACCACTGGTTATCAGGAGAGCTCTGCAGAACATAGACAGTGGTGTTAAAGCATGGAAAATAATATTTACCAGACATTTGAACCTGTACTAACTGGTTCATGCTACTAATCCTACTAAGTTTAGTTGCCTGAAGTTAAAGGGATTATGAGTTTTACTACAAAGGTGATTCACTCTATTACAAAGACCACAAATGCTGAATTAGTATCTTTTTAGAATGTTACATATTCCCACATGCATATGGATCAACGTAGGGTCTTGCAAAAACTTACATCAGATACAGTTCCACATACTTCACAACAGCATTGAGAAAATCAACAATAGTGAAAACAGTAAAATGGGGAGAGAGAGAGATAGTTGGTGAATGAAGTTGGATAAAACTTTCAAGATGATCAGCATTGGATACATGCTTGCCACTGGGATCGACTTCGGATCATATCACCAAAAGTCTCAAATAATTGATTCCCTATATCTTGAAGACCTTACTGAGACGAATGGTCGAAAATTCCCTACACCTCAGGCCAACATTCATAGACTGGTAGCACATCTTGGTCTGACGATCTTTATCTCCCGTCTCAACCTGATTCTATTCCATTTGACATGTCATCTCTTGTACTAGCTCAGAATATCACCGACTGACTAACGTATCTCATCTTTTGCCATAGACTTCAACATTTGGTTTCACCGCACACAACCAATGCTTAAAAGATACCTGTGGTCAAAAACTTACTAATCCTGTCTTGTCTTTAACCTCCTAGGACCACAACTCATAACTAGACAGTAGGACAGAATGAACTGCTGTGATGTGCATTCGATCTTTTGTAAGTAGTCACATATCTCACAAACACCAACGGTCATACTACCTGATGAACCAGCCTATTCTATCTACGCTGTAATTTTGTAACCAGCCAAACCACTAGTAATGATGCAACTCGCTAGATAAATGAACTGATCAACTTTCTGAACTGAAATCTACCATATTTTAACATTAAGTGTTGGTGTCGGTCAGTTCCACAACATCATCTTACATATGGTAGGTGCGAACGTATACCAGACAAACTCAGAGTTTCGTTGAAGTCACTAAGTTTGTCTAGTATTTTGTTTCTATCCTAAAGTGACAGGACTATATTATTCTCATATTTCAAACTGACCATATGCTCTCCGAACAACAAGTCGATCACTGAGACCTTGGATTGAGCATCTCTAACTACTTCGTTGCCTTTATTTATCTTATGATGAGCCACTGATTTTAATTTTTTATGACTACTAGTATTTCTGTGCATAGAATAAATGTGCTTTCAGATTTTGATGTACTCTGAGTTAAGTTTTTGAACTGCCAAGATTTTACTAATGTTCCCGACACAGTTAACTTTAAACAAGGATGTTAGGTTGTATTACTTCCTCACAACTGAAAAATCTATCTGTGAGTAGTTGTATCCTGAATTTTTTTTATTATAATTATGACCAGTATTCCTGCTAACCGTTCAGTCACCTAGTTTTACGCTGTGCCACCGTATAGTCATCTTGATCAGGTCGACATATTGCACCTGTAGATCGTTCTCTGATATGACTAACTTTGAAGATTTCACTTAACATACTCATCATTTCTTTTATCTGAGAGTTGCACACTTTATTACCTTATATTGATATGATCTAGGAAATACCACTGATGTATTTGCGTATATGTGAAAACTATAAACAGCTCATCTTGTTCAGCATAATTCTTGCATTTTTTTCAATTTACCTTGTAAATAGTATAAAGATGTAAAGATGTAACTTTATCGGTTTGTGTGTAACATCAATTCCATGAGTTTCTAAATCTCACTGTTGATTTCTGTAACATTTTTCAGATTTGTCTAAAGAATGTCTTTTTCGAACCTCCCTTAGATGAGTTCGGAAGGATATTGTTGTATCTTCCTTTCAGGTATTTCTATGGAAGAGAATCTCGAAACACATGGAACAATCAGTTATCATCTTGTGACAACTTCTCCATGACTAAACTTAGTTCAATTATTACTTTATGACTAGTGATCCTATTCAACTCATAAAGTACCCGAAAAGACTTGGAACAACCACCTTCCCGCAACGTGTTTGCCATGTCCTCCTGAAACAGTTATTTACAGATCCAAAAAGGTTTCTGAGTACTAGAATAAGTTTTGTAATTGGAGTTAGAGTTAGAAGACAGGAAAATCTTTATTTATGTGATACCAGCGGTTAAAATTTTAGGTGACTAGAATGTATATCTACCAGACAACAGGTAGCTAGAATCAGATGCACCACTGACCAGAACTGCAGTGAATGAAGTTAATCATACTTCCCAATAACAGTAGATAGATATTCAGATGAAGTAAATTAAGGATGTTGGTGAACAACAACCGAAAGAACTTGAAACAGTAATATTTCAGAGTTTCCGTAACTTTTTGTTATAGTGTGGAATAAGATTACCGAAATCTTCATAAGAAGCTGTAAAACCTTGTAGCTTTTTTATAGTCAATCGTGTTCCACCGGAGTTTCGATAAAAAGCACGTGAAACAAAGTGTAAATACCAGATTGGTTAAAGAGACAAAAATCAATAGGAAGTTCTAATCTAGAAAGGCCAAGGTCATTGTAAATATACTTGAACCCTTCTATTATATATGGATTTTTGACGTTATAATACACCATCTGCATTTTAACACTAATCAGTCACTGAACAACAATTAACATGATGTTCAACTCTGAATACTGAATATTGACGCAAGCCCGTAGATTTATATTATTGATTGATGAGCATCAATAAACAAGAAGCCTGAGTCAGGGGTTTCTCAGTGATTCCCTCCAGTACCTGAAAAATTAGATACATTTTGAAAAACTTCATTGAAGAAACTAACATTTACATCACTTCTGGAATTACTGACTCATCAATGCACAACTAGATTTTTTGACTACTCTTCAATTATCATCTGAACACCCTTTTCCTTACTTATTTATCCGTCAATAATAAGTTATTGAACGTTCTGAAGGTTGGCCAAACTTCATAACATAGCTACTACTAAAAGCCCACCCACATGCGGGTAATAGCTCTATTTTACTCCTAGAAACGTTTGTTTAATTAATGGCTTATCGATTTTATGTGTACTGGAGTGTAAATGCAATGTTTTTTATACCTCAAGATTTAAATAATAATAATAATATTGGGTAAGAGGTGTTTTCGAACTCGGGGAATGAACTGTAGATGCAAAAGTATACGAGTAAATAAAAAAATGCAGCTGCTGAAATCTCTTGCTATACCAGATACAATTTTACAATCAGAGTTATAGAAGAGTAATTAAAATTATTTTATCATACTTCTGTAAAGGTACTACATCCTAGGGATACTGTGAAGTATATATGCCAACTAAATGTATGTCCTTAACATTACGAATTATTGATTTCCTTCGAAACATGAAACTGACTATGCAATAGATCCTAAAACGCTGGCAGGCTTGCCACTAGTCGGCACTTTCCCGATTACTTGACCTGAAGATGGCTAATGACGGATTGACTGGGTGACTTTGTTGCAGGAATACAATGGATGTATGTTATGTTACTCAAGGCATTCAACTGGAACTTATACAGCCGTGTATGCGCTTACACAGAGTTGCCACCTGAGATAGCAACAACCAATTGCGTCAAAATGCATTTACCCCTTATCCTTTTAACATTTCTTAGAACTCTTTCTAGTTTCCACACACTTGTTGTTTGTTTCAGCATATTTATACTTTTCTCGATTTCTTTTCCATCCTACTGAGATTTGTGGACCCCTGGATCTTTTTATATTTGTGAGCAGTTCTACGTTGTTGTCAGTATGGGTAATGTGAACGGGTGTTATGATTGGTGTATGCCTACATTTACTACCCATCCTGTTGAATCCCTCCGGCTCAATAATATTTGAGTAATCGTCCATCACCTACACGTAAGCTAGTCGATGATTCCCCACTTGACTACAGAAAATATTTGTGAGAAAGTTAACTTACCTGAAAAATGTATTGTCCTACTACAACGTATTATGAATTGGGATTAGGTTAAAAGTTTTTATATCTACTTCTTTCCGTGTTACTTTCTATTACTTGTACATGAATATCTCATTTAGAAATCGTTCACCTGTAACAAATCTTTGTATTTCTCCAGAACTTGCATGAAATCGTACAAATGGAGAATAGTATCAAAGAATTACATCGGGCTTTAGCTGAAAAGCATAATAATATCAAACTAGTTCAAACGCGTCTGCACTTGCACAACCAACGACCAGGAATGGAAAATGCATGTGACCCACCACAACAATCGTGAGTTTCCATCAAAAATACTCCTCTTTTAGCGACATTTATTTTAGTCAATGCCCCATTTACTTGATTCATGCTTTTTACCCTACTTTCATGAAACAAAAGTATAGTCCTGGTGAAATGCAATGCTATTTAAAATATGAAGATAAATTGTGCAGAATGGATAGCGAAGTGCTTCAGTCCACTAACCAAAACAGCTCATTAAAATTTCTTCTCTTGCGTATTTACTTGATTATTACACCATTGTAAAATGCAATGTGTTCTTGACTAGATTAATGTTATCTTAGTGAAAAAATACTTGGCATTGTGTTTTGTTTCATTGATTACTTGATAGAACGTGGTTGGATAAAACTGGTACCCATCAGAACGGTGTACCTGAAGTCATTGGTGAACACTCAAAAATCCTACCATCATGTTATTCCTGTTGCTCTTGACCTCCTACAGAACTAAATTTTCCAGTCCTAAATGTATACTGAATTCTATCGATTATTCTGCAGCGTGATCGCCATCATCGATCAACTCGATAGAATTCGATCAGCACCTAGAACTAGACAATATGAAATTGGTTTCTCTCTAATGAACAATTAAAGTTGCTGGATAACTTAATTATCGACCCTTTTATCAACCAGTGACAGGTTCTTCACCATTACGAAAAGTAAGAGAACACCATACTTACAAGAGGAAATTAAGTTTGTCCACTGTTTGTCCTTTATGTTTGAGCTATCAACGTTTCACACAGAAAACAGGTTTTGAGGGAGAACTGACGCATATATTGATAAACTACTTAAGAGTAGTATACTTTTTATATACAATTTTGAGAAGCCAGCTAATGAAAAATGTGAAAATAGGTTTCACCACGAAATACGCTGACTGACGTGAGTAGTTCTAGACCCTTAACACCAATCAGCAGTTCCCATTAGCAAGATCAAAGTGATCTAAACACTGTATGGCCGTTTCGCTGATTTGGGGCCGAGCTCATTGGAGGTGTGAGAGCGGAATTCTGATTATCTAAATGAGAGAAACTGTCATACAAACAGTCAAATCACGCGTCTTCAAAATACACAGTCTGTAGTGACAGCTTTTTGTGTTCAGCAAATCACATTTTGATTTAAATATTTTGGTTTGCATAGGAAACCACGTGAAACAGACATGGAAGGAAACCTGAATAACCGTGTTAGGAGGGAAGAAGAGGCAAGACAAGGGATAGATCTCCACCGACACATAGTAGCTGATAGAGCAAGGAGAGGAAGATGTTGAAGCAGAAGATGAAGAAGTGCAGTGCACTGTAGTGCAGTGCAGGGATGAACAACGAAAACAGAAAATGAACACAACCTATAAAACACTACACTGGACAAGGAAGTGAAGAAGAGTTCGCGGAAAGACAAAAGATACTTCTATAACACATTGGCAAGCGAAGCAGTACAGGTTGCTGGTAGGAGAGACAGAGACCTAACAACATTATATCAAATAACCAGGTTACTATCTGAGAAGGGAGAGATCAACGCAGATGAAACCAATGAGAGATAGTCAAGGAAACCTAGTTGGCACAAGATGTGAGGCAGCAAAGACGGGACGTCGAGTGAATATGGAGAAAACAGAGGTGATGAAAATACACAACGAATAACGCGATCAGCAACAACAACAAGGAGCAGCAATCACCATGAACGAGAGAAATCTAAACGGAGTTGTCTTTCACCTACCTACCTACCTACCTACCTACCTACCTACCTGCCTACCTACCTACCTACCTACCTACCTACCTACCTACCTACCTACCTACCTACCTACCTACACACCTACCTACCTACACACCTACCTACCTACCTACCTACCTACACACCTAGCTAACTACCTTCCTACCTACCTACACACCTAGGCAGCATCGTTTCAACTACAGGCAGCACAGCCACAAATGAGGATGTCGAAGACAGGATCGGAAAGACAACAAGACAGGCCTCCATTAACCTGAAACCAGTGTGCAGATCTACTGCAATGCACTACACTACACTACACTCAGAATAAAGCGTGAACAACATTCGGATCTTCAACACTAATCTCAGTCAAATCACTGTTTCTATGTGATGATTCACAGAGTTGACGCCTTACAGAAAGCATTTCCAACAAACTACAGACATATGTGTGTGAACAGCTGCCACCTACACTCACTCCATACTGAAGATCAGATCAGATCAGATCAGATGACGAGAATAATAAGAATAAGCAACAAGGAAGTCTGACTAGCTGGCAACCAGCCAACCTACCAACCAAGAACCCTTCGTCCAACAAATATGCAGCAGAGGGAGGTGGAGATGTATTCGATTGGGGATATACTGAGAAGACGGTTTAGGGACATGACGCGTTAGGCCAGGCCAGACCAGACCAGACCAGATCAGATCAAACTAGACCAGACCAGGTCCTCGAGTGGAATCCATATGGGAAACGACGAGTTGAGTGTTCGAGTGTGACATGGAGGAGATGGTGTGAGGAAGAAATGAGAGGTTGTGGTCAGTGGTGGAGCTAGGTTGAATGAAAAGACTGAGGAGAAGATAGTGGAATGGAGATGTGCTATTGAAGCCGTATGTTCCACTAGGAACACAAGGGACAAATAATAATAATAAATAGGAAACCACGACCTCGTGATAAATCAAGTCTAGTAACACTGAGTTTCACGTCAAGTAGGTAGCTATTCAACCATTAGGTTAAAACCTGTTGGTTCAGTTTTATCGATTTCTCTCGAATCACGAGATAGCATAACCATTATTCACTATCGTCAATAGACATCCGTTCTCACTCCCCTCTGGTTATGGTTTAGTATTGGAACTTCGGAAAATCCATCTCAATGACATTTCTAATGAGGACTGAATCATCAACATTTGTGTGTTGATAAGGTCTTCTCTTTAAACTATACTAAGGCAAGTGAGAAATTTTATATTACGTATAGCGCACAGCAAGTAATACAGTATTATCTACTGGATAACATTTTGAGCGGAGTTTATTGCTCGTGCTCATATTCATATATTGCAGATGTCTGGAAATGTGTACTACTATTTGAATAAAAGAATGAAGAACTGTCGGACTGTATATATAAAGTTTGAAAGTCACTTGATTGTTTTGATATGAATATAAGCAATAATTTAGACCGGAAACGTCACCCAGTAAATAACACTGTATCAATAAATGTGTGTTACATGGAATTAATAATTTAATATGATAGTAATTCTAGCTTTCTTAGCCTTGTCTTACTCTTGAAATCTAGGTTGTTCTGGGGAAATAACTTGTCTGACACAACATATCAAGCAGTTTTACGCAATCGCAACTCAAAGAACCACGTCACTGTTTCAGGGAAATCACATTACAATCTACACATAGAAGATGTGACGAGCCTCAATACAAATATATCAGTAATATTGCAATGGAGGCCATCAGGAACGAATTTTTCCAAGTTGGTATTCATCATGGACTGACAACAGTTGGAGGAACACTGGAAACCTAGGAGCGCTGGACAGCTGTTTCGTCCTAGTGTGGGACTCTCCAGTAGTGCACACCCACGACCCTATCAGGGGTCGAACCCACGACCTTCAGGTTCTGTGACCAGCACATTACCATTGAGCCACTGGGTCAGAATCCAATGGTCCATATTTCCAACTTCTGTCAGTTCACGATATAGCACGACCACCACCCAATGTCATCACTGAGTGTTTGTCCTCACAGCCACCAAGTTTGCCCCACTGGTCCCGACTTCGTATTGGAACTTCGGGGATCACCTCTCGAATCTAGTCACCAATGAACACAAGATCAATCGAATTTAGGAGTTTGTGGGGATTTAGAGATGACACTGGGTGGCGGCTGCGCTATATCGTGAACTGACAGAAGTTGGAAATATGGACCATTGGATTCTGACCCAGTGGCTCAATGGTAATGTGCTGGTCACAGAACCTGAAGGTCGTAGGTGTGCACTACTGGAGTCCCACACTAGGACGAAACAGCTGTCCAGCGCTCCTAGGTTTCCAGTGTTCCTCCAACTGTTGTCATCCATGATGAATACCAACTTGAAAAATCCCCACTAACCTCCAAACTCAATCAGAAATGAACTGATCACTGACCATGAACTCAGGAAAAAAATCAAAGCTCCCATTAAAAAAATCATGCCAGGGATATAACTGTGTCCAATTTCCACGGTCTTCAAATTTCAAGACAAAACATATGAACAAACAGAAGGCATGGCAATGGGATTTCCAATATTCCTGATCGTAGTAGACATATACATGTACAGTTGTGAATAGGTGACATTGCAAACATTCCAGTTTACTCTAAAAACATGGTGGCGACGGTGGATGACACATTTACTGTGTTGAAATAGTAACACAACCAGAGTTTTTCCACACGCACTAAGTCGATAGTGGATACAATTCAGTTCACTTATGAATTAGAAAATGAAGAAGGAGAATTACCTACATTGGATTGCGAAGTCAAAAGGAAAGAAGATGGAAGCCTAGATACCAATGTTTATAGGAAACCAATACATTCGAATAGATACTTGGATTTCACATCATCTCATTCCATATCTGTCAAGGTAGGCTTGGAAAAATGCCTGAGTAGTCGAGCTAGAATTTTGACTAGTAAACCAGAAAATCTAACTAAGGAACTGAATCACACTTAAGAGATATTACTATTCAATAAGGACCCTCTGGAACTTGCGAAATGTTTGTAAGAACTTATAAGAAAAGGGGTGATAATATTAGTGGTAACTGTAGCATGCCTAAAAAGGAAATCAAATCTTCTGTAGTGTTATCATCTAAAGAATGCACAATAAAAATTCTACGTAGTATTCTTAACAATTCTGGGAGTACGGTGACACCGAAACCCACAAACTCACTCAGAGATGAAATTTGTAGGCCAAAAGATCCAGTTGAGCCAATTATGTAAAATAACTTAATTCATCAGATACCATGTAATGATTGTGAGGTGGTCAAGTATACGGGTCAAAGTAGTCGATCGATGTCATTTGGAATAGTGAAGGATAAATATTTGGCGAAACATAAAATGATAGACCCTACTAAGATAAGCAATTTAGAGGAAAACTCAGCTATCAATTTGAATAAAACTTGGGCACTGTTGTAGAGTATCACTGCATAGTAGACTTTTAAGTTGATATACCACACAGTGAGTAATACACCACTACATACTGGATGACGTTTCAAGCAGAATTTATTTCTCATATTCATATCAAATTAATCATACTCGACTATTGCTCTGTATATATTGACTCACGTTTATGTTTTGGGCTGGGACAGGGTAACAATTTCAAAATCCAATATACGTAAGCGGAGAGATAGATTGATTATTGAATCTTTATTCATTCAATCAACACATGTAACAGGAATGACTGATCATATATTGCAGATATATGTAAAATTTTACAACCATTAAAATAAACGAATGAACTGTTGGACTATATATAAGGGAAGTTTGGAAGTCATATGATTCCTTTGGTATAAATATGAGCAGTAAATTCAGCTTGAAATATCGTCCAGTAAACAATAATATATCACTCACTGTAAGATATATCAAATAAACAGTCTAAGATGGAGTTATACTCTACCATAGTGCCCAGGTTTTATTTACTCTTACATTAATATACAAATTCTTTTCTTTTTGTCGCTTATTCTGTTTGTGTTTTTTGTAGGATGCTCGATGAATTAGCTACAATACAACAAACTGTAGAGAATCTACACGATCAATTAGTTGCATCAGAAAACAAACTAAAAAACTTAAAAGATGATCAAATGATACTAGAAAAGCAGATTCAATGAAACAGAATTCAATTCAAATTGACCATGATCATTGTGTTAATCATCGAATGGTCTACCCGAATATTATTCGTTTACAAGGACTTTAAAATAGTTTTAGAATTTGAAAAGCACTTGGCAGACTTACCGAGTGACTCTTAATATACAGACATCTGCAAACATATCTTTATGTGTAACCTAGCTGTATAACATTATTACACATATACTTCTAACTCATAGCATTGTCATCTCTATCTGTTGGAAAGATACCTGCCGAATGTTCATGACGATAATTACATCTACCATATGTCTGAAGCAACTTGGAAGATGAAAAGCAACATCTGAAAAAAGAATATTCTTCTAAAATAAATTCTCATCAGGTTCTACAATTAGGAAAATGCATTTATGCAGCGTAAAATCAAGCCTAGTTAGGGGCAGATACATTTTCAAGATAGTATCAAATTTAGCGAAAACCACTTTTTCTTTTTTAAGTTTGTCAGTATCAGGATGACATATATACAGATGAATGATGTGATGATGAACGAAAAGATAAACGAATAAAGAAGACAGGAGTGGTTTTTTAGTTTACTGAAAGCCGAGGGAAGAGTAACGCTTGAACAAATTCTTTCTGAATGCATAGTTCAGGTTTGATCAACCTTATAGTCACAGCCCCAACTACTTTGAGCAGACAAGGTACATGTGGTATTGTTTCTGGAACACAATGTATGACACTGAAAGCTTTATTAGCATTTTTGTGATACCCTGTGTCTATTAGGTGGGCTATGATAGAAATTTTCACCAACTTCACTTCTTCGTTTCCGAACTAAGCTGGTAAATGCTCCCGTATCCGGAGATGAACCTGCCTAATCGTACGCCCTATGCAATTAGTTCCACAGGAACGGCTGAACTGATATATGCAGGATAAAGGGCTAAGCGTAGGTAGGCTATATTTGGTCTTGGATTGAGTATTGGCTGATTGCTGAATGATATGCAAAGCCGACCTGCAAAAAGCGTCTAATCGACTTTTCTAGCTAGGCGTTGTGAAATGATGTCACTTGGTACATCTCCCTTGAATTGTGAACTCAGAAACAAAGGCTTCTTCTCTGCTGTCAGCAGTTCTCGTTTAGGACCAATTTAATTGGTGTTAGCCTTGATGAACTTATCCGCATATCCGTTTTTACTTGGAATGTCACGGATACACAGTAGTTCTTTTCTCATATACTCCTTGGAACAAATCGACCTTAGTCTAAATGCTAGGCACGTGATTATACTACTTTTTCACTTCATTGACAAGAACTTGAGAAAATGTGTATACTTTGGCTTAGGACGTCGATTTTCTATGTATACTTCTCAGCCTACAGCCATCTTTTCTTGTCATTAGCATAACAAGAAGATGTGTCGAATTATTGATTTCATTTTCATATATAAAATAGACTGATGCATGGGCGCTGCTGAAATGGTTCAAAATAGATATAATGCATAAGGACTTATCAAAGACTAAAAAAGTATCATCCGTACATCGAAAGTACAACTCCATAATGTTAATTTGATCTTTCAAAGAACCATTTTCCAGTTGTCAGAAATACATATGCAAATATTAGGCCCAATGGAGATCCCATAGCCACCTCGTCATCTTGACTGTACATATTACTGTTGAAGAAGAGCAGAATATTCACTTTATATTTTAGTGACCAATGAAAGTTAGTGAAGGAAACCTAGTTACCAAAGAGGAGAAACAAAGGAAACGATGGGCTGACCACTTCAAAAAATCTTGAATCGACCACCACCACCACCAACAACAACAACAACTGCAACTCGTCCACAAATACCACAAACACCCCACCCACAAAACTACCAGTGAACACAAGCCTCCAACAAAAGCAGAAGTGGAATCCTGAACGCCATAAAGTTGCTGAAATCCGGGAAAGCAGCAGAACCAGATGGAATTCCACCAGAAGCACTGAAAACTGATGCAGAGATAACAGCAGCGGACATGCTCATACCACTACTGCAAAAGGCTTGCAAGAAAGGAAGGAAAGGTACCTGCCGATCAATTGGAAGAAGAGCTATCTTGTCAAACTTCAAAAGAAGGGTGACCTAGGCCAAGTGTTTACAAGGACTGGCTTGGGATCATGCTTCTATTCACCCGAAACAAGCAAAATATCAAGCTGCATCATCCTGAAGAAATTGAAGGGTGCTGTGGATTCGAAATTACGACCGGAACAGACCGGCTGGCTGGCTAGCTGGCTGGCTTCAGAAAGAACAAATCATGTTCCGAGCAAATAGCAATAATAAGCTACGCATCGTCATAGAACAGAGTATAGAATGACAGTCAACTCAACTCTACCTCAACTTCATCGATTTTCAAAAGGCCATCAACAGCGTCGACCGACAATTTATTTGACAGGCAGCTGCTTCAACACTACGGTTTCAGTGTCACAAACCCTCATCAACCTCATTCAACAGCTACATGTTACGTGATGCTACATGACAAGTGATTCACAATGGAAAGCTCAGCAATGCCATTGAAATGAAGACAGGAGTAAGACAAGGTCGACTGCACTGCACTTCATTGGACTGCAATAGAATGGACTGGAATGGAATGGAATAGATCATGCCATAGACAAATGTGAGGAGCGAGAAGATGGACACATGCTGACTGAACCGATGAAAAGACCATAGAAGAAGATATGGATTTCACCACCGATGATGATGATGATGATGTTGATGATGATTGATGTCTAATATCTTGTCGCACAAACTAGAAGATCTACAAGCGAAAACCGAGAAGTTGGAACAAGAGGTGATGCGAGGCAGCGAAGATGGGACTTCGAGTGAATGTGGAGAAGACAGAGGTGATGAAGATACACAACCAACAACACCATCTACAAAAACAACAACAACAAGCACCAATCACCATGAACGAGAGAAATCTAAACGGAGTTGTCTCCTTCACCTACCTACCTGCCTACCTATCTACACACCTACCTACCTACCTACCTACCTACCTACCTACCTACCTACCTACCTACCTACACACCTAGGCAGCATCGTTTCAACTACAGGCAGCACAGCCACAGATGAGGATGTCGAAGACAGGATCGGAAAGACAACAAGACAGGCCTCCATTAACCTGAAACCAGTGTGCAGATCTACTGCAATGCACTACACTACACTACACTCAGAATAAAGCGTGAACAACATTCGGATCTTCAACACTAATCTCAGTCAAATCACTGTTTCTATGTGATGATTCACAGAGTTGACGCCTTACAGAAAGCATTTCCAACAAACTACAGACATATGTGTGTGAACAGCTGCCACCTACACTCACTCCATACTGAAGATCAGATCAGATCAGATCAGATGACGAGAATAATAAGAATAAGCAACAAGGAAGTCTGACTAGCTGGCAACCAGCCAACCCACCAACCAAGAACCCTTCGTCCAACAAATATGCAGCAGAGGGAGGTGGAGATGTATTCGATTGGAGATATACTGAGAAGACGGTTTTGGGACATGACGCGTTAGGCCAGGCCAGACCAGACCAGACCAGATCAGATCAAACTAGACCAGACCAGGTCCTCGAGTGGAATCCATATGGGAAACGACGAGTTGAGTGTTCGAGTGTGACATGGAGGAGATGGTGTGAGGAAGAAATGAGAGGTTGTGGTCAGTGGTGGAGCTAGGTTGAATGAAAAGACTGAGGAGAAGATAGTGGAATGGAGATGTGCTATTGAAGCCGTATGTTTCACTAGGAACCCAAGGGACGAATAATACTAATCATCGCTTTTTGTAATTGATATCTAACAATATATCTTAGATGTACGCTATTTTCTTCCTTCATGAATATGATTCCTCTGAGAAAACTATTGATCAGTTTTTCTGGTAGACAGGGCATCATTTTTATTCAGAACAATAAATATATTGTCTGCGTATTGCCATCCACATAATTTTGGTCTGATGATTGGCAGAACTATTAACTCATGTCGTGGCATATTTCCTTCTGCAATAGTTCCTGAAATTGGTGATCCCATCGGAGTTCCTATCATTTTCCATATTTCTCTCCGTGGATAAGGATATATTTATGAAATCCATTATTTCTGGTATACTGGTGTGAGCTTGTAAACGTAGTTTTGAAGCATGTTTAGGATGGTTTCTCTTGCAAGTTCAGCATCTATCGATGTAACGAATGCTCCAACGTCGAAGGAGATCATTGTTTCATCTTCACATATTTTGAAACTATTAACTTTGTTTAGAAACTGAGTTGCTGAGTTGATTCAATCAGTTGATTTGCAAAGTAAATTCCAATACTTGCGAACACCACTACGTAGGACAATCAGGTAGACCATCATTACAACGCCTATATGAACACAAGCTGGCTGTCAACTTCATGATATGAAGTTTCTCATATCAATACACTGTGACAAACAAAGGGGCCAGCAAGTTCCACGGAGCTACAAAAATGTGATGCAAACGAGCAAAAGGAAATCAACCAATTATATAGTTCCACAGTCTTTTGAGAAAAATGGAGGTGGGAAGTCAACCAATCACTTTCAGCATAGGTTCATACACTCACCAAGCGACCAATAAGATTACAATCAGACAAAGTAGTACCTTATACGTATTTGTCGACGACTAATTACTTCCTTGTGAAGCTCTGATGACTATGTGTAGCATGGCATTCAAATGTCTGCCAGCCGAAACCATAGGTCTCACTCTCAACATTCACACCCTGTACTACAAATATTCACCACAAACTCTATGGAAAGTGTAATCAATCAATACA